CGCTCGTTTCGAACAAAAAATTCAAGTTAGCGTACCTGTTTGGCAAAAGGTTCGAGCTTCCTCCAGTGCGTCTCAAATTGTGAGTTGGAGCCGTTGGGGTTGTCCTTGCACCAATCCGTTCGACAAAGACTTCTGCAAAGGTCGCCCAGTAAGACATGATGGTAATAGTACCTGAAACGACACTTACTTTGCAGTTGCACGAATAGTAGTCTGTTTCGGTGCGGTCACTTCCTTTTTTTTAGCGCCTTTTGAAACATCTGTGGCACCCGGCATGCCCGCAACACCATTCTTGCTACTATCCGTAGTGGCCAGAGTAGGTGACGGTGTTCAAAGGAGCAAGTGCAGCGCTGGCATGCATTGCTTGCGACAGGTATTGCATGAATGACATGTCCGATGTTGAACGTGATTGATAGTATCGATGGGATCCGAGTCACAAACCGAAGTGTTTTCCATGTGCGCAGCAAGTTTGACGGTCGACGACACAATGCTGGAGAATATTGGAACAGCTGAATTGGGCACGAGATGGACCGGTGGGCTCTCTTGTGCATCCGGAAAGAGTGATGCGAGCGGATTGATGATCTTATATAGTAGTAATAACTTTTAGATACAAGAACTCGAAGGGATGTAAGATCAGACTCACTTGAACTTTAAGCTGGGGTTGGCCGGTGGCCGTGGACTGCGATGGAATGCCTTTAATATCTGTTGTAAGCATGATCGGCTCATCAAGGGCCTGGGCGATGTCTCTGTAGGACATGTGGTTCAGTGAGCCTGAGTCGTGGTTGTTGGGCATGATTGGAGGATGTGTAGTTGTCGGCAGAATGGTAGTGTGGCCCTGAACAGTTGGTGGTAGTACTACAACGGAGGGTAGTGACGAAGATGAGATGCGATGAGCCTCTTTCTTTTTCTTCGAGGTGCGTGCTTGAGGAGAGATTGCAACTGACTGGGGCCGCTTTGATGAGCTTGCAGTTGACATAGAGTCTTGAATAGCTGGTTCGAGCTTCACGGTCTATCTCATGCAGACCATCGGAGGCTAGATCTCCAAAGTCATTATCATGAGCGGGCGGCTGGGATGAGGGCGAAGGTGGACGTGGTGTGCATGCTCTCCCAAGCTGCACATGCTCCAGGTTGCTCCGTACTACTTCTCTCGCCGGATTGACAAAGTTATTTACGTGTCCCCGACGAAGCCAATGCAATATCTTCCAAGCGGTGCTTCTCATGGGTGCGGTAGGTGCTTCTGGTGACATTTTTCAAGATTCCATTGCATTTCCTGGTACACGAACAGGTGAATTCACGTTGTGTGCGTTCTGCGGGCATGAGAATGGTGTTGTGAGTACGAGTCGATGAGATATATTTTGTTACTGATACGACAGCGGTCTGTTTATCGTTACATAACTAGACATCCTGTAAAAATCAACCATTTTGTGTATGCGCGTGTATATGCGTGTATCCCCTCTGTATGTAACTGTATATCCCTGGCTGAGCGTGGAGTAGGATTTGACTGGGTGCATTAGGGGCAATTCTTGTTCAACACCTTGAATACGTTTTTGACCGGCAACTAACTACTCGTGACTCATCACGGTCTCCGCCTTTATACTACACAAAGGGATAGGTACGACTACACAAAGGGATAGGTACGACTACACAAAGGGATAGGTGTGTATCTACTACACAAAGGGATAGGTATGTATATTACTGGTATAAGTCAGGTTACCGTGACTAGTCATGTCAATACGCCCTAGTTGAACATCAATCAAATGGCAACGACTCTGAGCCAGACTCATAGTACTCTTACAGATGCTGACTTATTGAAACTAGGCATACCCTCATGGCCATCAAGGTTGCAAATGTATTCAAAAGCTGTGATGCAGTAAGTCCTTCGACTTGAATCAGCGCGACTTCCCGGTCAGTGTGACTACTAGTACTAGTACTAGGTCAGTTACGACGATGTAGTGCCAGTTCGCTGCAGCACAGTCACAGTGCCAGCCTGACTTGGAGCACCTGGGCCTGTCATGGACATCTCTAATTTTTTTTATTCATGATACTAGTGATTCTGCGCTTGGCCCTGACTACTCGATAAAGTGCAAACAGGTTGATGGCTTCAGGTGGGTTGAGTTAGTCTTTTTCCTACTGAACCAAACTGAATACGTCATTCCCGAAGGAAACACAGCTACGGTGTCTGGGAAGGAATCGTGCATCCTTCAGGAGTATTGTATTATTTCGACGTCTCAATGGTAAGTAAATATTCATCGGTAATTCTTGTCTGTCGCATATCTCACAATCAGACAGAAAACATATACAGGAAGCGATGTGAAAAAATACACGCCTAATCAATTGAACAATCTTCAGAACTGGATAAGGGCAGCCCGCAGGAGATTGCAGGAAGAAACATGGTATATGGTGGTAAAGCCTGTTACAAGAGAAGACAGAGACTACTACGAATACTATTGCGTGGTCCCGGATGCCCGCACCATTGCTTGGTTTGAGGATTTTAACGCCGACCTTCTATTCCAGGAATGCGCCTTTGCGAGAGAGTGGAACCACAAGAGCAAGTTCTATTCCCCAATGAACGCGTTCTGATTATGCTGATAATTCCATGGTGGTGTCAGGGCTCGAGCTGGAGGCACAATTTTGGTGAGAACATGTCGATGAGGTAGAAAAGAGACTTCTGGGATACTGACACGAATTTTTTTCAGGAAGCACATTGATTTCTTTCCAAGTCATTATAGTATGCAACGCTCGGATGCTACTGAGCTACGCGCACACTTAGAATGGTATCTGGCAGGTAAGAAACGCATCTTGTATCAAGCAATGACTGATATCAAAGAATAAATGATAGAGGGGTTGATTCTGGAACAATCGACTGCGGCATCATTGTTTTGGAGCACCGACCAAACGGAGAAAGTGATCGCTCGCCTTATTAGCTTTGGTACTTCGCAAGACATTATACATCCTTTTCCTTTTTTTAAACAGAATTGCAGAGAACCTTCTCAACTCCGATGCATCCTTGAAGGAACAAGGCGTCGCATACTGTGGTGCGCTTGTGTTGATTGCAGCTCTCGTTCGAATACTAACTGACTCGCATAAACTAACAGGAAGGATATGGAATATTTTACGTAAGTGACAGGATCAGCGCTCCGAAAATTTAGTTTTAATTTGCTGGAAAGGCCATCACCAGTTTCTCAACTACTATGGTTTTCCAGAAGCTCGTCTGATGCGGACCCATTCAATTGAGGGAAGCAAACGAAACCGAAATATCCGGTTTTTATCTTTGCTATCGACAGCTGCTATGTTTGGTGTTCCAGTGATGGTATTGGAGCATGTTGAAAAACTTCACGTTGACGGTATTGTCAATCTGCTTGATATCAAGAAATTCCTTGACCATTTCAACGACGACAACATAAAGCACAGCACTCTGGTATGTGATTTACCATCAACGTACACCTTTCTGATATTCGTGTGCTTGTTCTTTCCCAGGCGGGCGTTATCATGGCAGTAGATGCTAGCATACTTGCTATTCCGAATATTGGTTCCCAAGTAACAACAAGAACACTATGCTCTCTTTCACTTATCCTTAGCGTCCACTGCATCTTTGCGGGCGTTGTGGCACAACACTTTGGGCAGAAGATGAAGTCTCTTCAATTTGCCGTGCGCTCAAGTTCAATATATTATTCTTGCAGTTATTTTCTCACCCGAACATTTTAACAGTCTCATAACTTGCAATACCACTTTACGAAGGTTGCTATCATCTATAGCGCTCCTAGTTTGTTGCGAACGACAAGGTATTTTCTCACTCTCACTTGAATCTATCACAATAATGATGAATATGTGTTATTCAATAGCGTAGCATTATCTACTCTGGGCCTTTTAGCTGGTATTTTCACAGTGCCAGATCGGTCTTTGATAACAACCATACCGTGCACGATCACCATAGTTTTCGTTGGAGGATTTTTGACTTGGTCTTCAGTTTCCATTTCTCGTCAACATCTAATGCACGGGGTTAGAACAATGTCTTGATTTCACAAGAAATCATCGCAGTCAATAGATTTCAGAAAAACTTCGTGTAGATTGTAATGAGATCCGTGCTATTCGCTTAGTATCTGAGCACCTCAAAGCATCAATAAGCCCTTTCTCATCAATTATATTACTGGAACTCCTCATTCCTGAGCCAAATATCTAAATCTTGTTAAGTAGCGGTGTATAGCCAATTAATTTCATTTTTTTTTGTCTCTCAAGATAAAGATCCGTGATCATCCATCACAAATGGACCGTAACTAATAGCAATAAAACACTCCTTAAAGGTGAAAGTCATTTTATATATGAAATTCAGATACATATTAGGGGATATGGTAATCGGTGTCAGACACTAGTAATGATACAACTACTTTTATGGTGACTGCACGCTTGGTATAGTATTATATAACGAAAAGTATCAGAAATATCGAGATTTTTGTGTAGTGGGTAGCGCATCACATATGATTGCATATGATTTGCTTCTTTTCTCGTGTCTGTGAAAAGTAAGACCACTGTGAAATTTCCAGGTCGGACAAAAACATACCTGCTTCCCACAGTTGGCAAGGCGCACGCAAGCACCTCTGAATTTGCATAAACACACTTGAGTTCTGGCATACAATACTGCAAGTCCCCGTCTTGCTATTGAAAAGTTGTTTTTAACACGGGGCTTTGCCGATAAAGTGTTAATGCCATTTGAAGATGTTGGAATAGAGATCCTGTGAACATAATTGCACTTGCACTTGGTCTTGTAAGAAATTAATATACATCGACAAGTTAATAAATACTTACTACAATGTGATCTGCATCCGGTATTAAATTACCAATACTTGATGAGAAAAGTGTCTGTTCCATCTGTTCAAAAATAGGGTATTATTGGCTGATTGTGCTGCTGGCCTGCTCTGGGTGCCAACCACTTTTATGGCATCAGCTGTCTTGTGAGCGGGCCCATCAATGGTTATTGTGTTCTCTGGCTAGTCACAAAGAGTGTGAAACTTACCCAAGCATTGTTATTGTCAATGTCAACAGGTGTGAGACTCTACACCACAAGGCCAACACACCATTTGCTCTTGTGCTGCACCAAGGTCAGCTCATGCTCCCCAAACTGGGATGTGATGTGCTGCATGGACAGTTTTGAAAAGTTCATCTGCCTGTGTAACTTCCTCTTGTGTCTGCTCCTGTTCGTTGCTCTCGCTCAGACTATATGCCATGTTAAGTTTCAATCATGAGTTTCATACAACCTTTATCTCTCGCTGCTTGAGACGTGATTAAAAATATCCCAATGGACTTTACCAGTGCCCTTCCAATGACACAACACCGGCAAGTTCTCGAGGCATCTTCACAACTTCATGCTCTTTCCCAAGGATCACAACATTCGTCGAAGGATTGACAATATAAATCAAAGGCTCGACAGGTAGCTGATATTGCGGCATGGGCATGAAAAAGTATCATTTCATGGCCCTATTAGATGTTAAGTTCAGTTGCTCGATGGACTATGATGTCTGAGAAGCATACAATACTTTGCTTAAGGTGCGAACTAATAAGGACTTGTGCAGTCAACGCTATAATGATTACCTAAACCGGCATCATCGGCATCTGTCAAATTTCAAACTCCTTGCTTCGCCTGCCTGAGGTTGACCAGTCTGACTACATCAAATAATTAACATCTCAAAGACATAGTCCAAACTGGCTACGAGTCTACTAACCTGCAACATTTCGATATGTTCATATAAATTTATGACTTTGACTTCTACATAATCAAACCTATGTGTATCGTCTTTCTCCAACTTTCATTGAGCAGACCGACGGATATGCTAACTACCGCAGAAACTTGATCTATGGAAACGGTTGGAATTGAAAACAGTGCGCTTCACTGCTATGATCAGGTGAGGATGTGACTTGTGAAGGTCTAGTTGGTACCTGGGGCAGGCTGCGTCCTCAGTCGTTCAAGTTCAGCTAGTAACTGAAGTTCAGGAAGGGAACTACCGTCAGTCAAAGAAGACCAGCATCAGCAAAAAATGCACACCTCCTCGATCTGGCGGTCGCGCTCGTCGATTTCAGGCTGCCGCTGGGAGCGGCCTTGTTCCAGAATCTACAGGGTCGAGCACAATCAATGAAGGAAAGGCTGGTTTGGCTGAAAATATGTACCTGTGCATGTTCTGTCTGACGTTGAAGCCGGAGGTCAGCCACTTGCTTCTCTGTTTTCTCATAAACTAGCCAAAATCTAGCACAGATGTTGTTGATATCATCCTCCGATGACTGCGTTACTACAATGGGGCCAAAGTGGCCACGGTTGTCGGGGTCAAACACTTGCTCCTCTCCTCTAAAAAGCCTTTCCAAGCTCTTGCAAATAGTGCGACTCCACCAGTAGCATTGGGCACGGAGGATGCCATAGCTGAAGTCCTGCTGGTTCACTAGAACTAACAGGTCTGCGACGTGTAAAACAGAAGGCCGAACGAAATTGAACGAAAGTGAGGATATCCGTCTGTAAGATTTGAGCCTGGCAGTCAGATGTGATTGGATATTCAAGTCACTAGCACGACCGATGAGGTAAACTGTATCTCGTGCAGGGTATTCCGATGACGATGGTGTAAGAAGCCCAGATGCGTGTGAGTATGTGGGGATGTCGACGGTGCGGTCAACACACATAGCCGCTGTGGCAGAACTGCCAGCTTGAGTGTTCCAATGGGTGAAGTGGAGGACGAGGAACTCGTGCTCTGCATTTTGCAAGCATTTATAGTGATCAACGCGGAGTAAATGGCATTGCATATAGTGATTATTTCCAAAGTTGTCTATATGTTGTGAAATGAAGTCTCGATAAGGGCGAACATTGAAGTTCACAGCCAGTTCATCATCAAAGCAAAGAAAAGGGAGAGATTCAGGAGGCTCCAACATGCCTATTCGTCGAAGGAGCTTGATTGCAAGACGATTAATGTTCACTCTGAGATTTAAAGTCATGGTTGTAGATAGCCCCACGGAAGAGTCCGCGCTTTGAGGCTTGAGGCACTACAGATCTATATGAAATTAACCTCATATTCTTACATAAGCAAGCCATCCTTTACTCTTCAACTTGGTTTCATTCCGGTCGTCTGTCAAGTGTTCGTCATTTACAGATAATCGTGGACGATCTCCCGATTCGTTCGTGCATTCAAGAGCATAGCCAAGATTGTATCGCACTGAGAGACTGATCGCATCTCCCACGGTCATGTCTTCGGACAGGCAGCAGAGAAAGAACCTGATATAGTCTCGGGCGTTACATGGGACACGAATCTCGTCTCTGCCTCTGCAGTGATCACTTTTATACTCCACCAGCGATACATCAGTGTTAATGGGCGAGCTGTGTCACTTGATATATTTCAAAATAGGTTGGGTTTTCACTCATCATTATCTCCTCTCACAAATAAATGGACAGCCAAATGCCCTCTGCACCTCATCTCGAATTCTTCCTCTACTCCTTCTCCCTCTTCGCCATCCAATACATTACCCGCCTCACTAGCTGATTCGGAAGTGCACTGACATATGGCCAAAACCAACTATTCACGACTGGCCTTGTGGTTCTTCTCTACAATGCGTGTCATCTCACTCTTAGTCCAGGGTTCAAGATCCCTTTGGCGCAGGCGGGTGATGCAATGAGTAATTTCCAGGTTGTACGTTGCAGCGAAGAGCTTGGGCGGCGTTACGGTGCTCTATTCCTGCTTTGTCGTTCATTCATTTTATCATCCCAAGTGCACGTTCTCATGTTGATCTCCCCTTACAGCCGGTCGCATTCTACCGTCCCGCTACTCTTACCTCCATACTCAACTTTGCCCAAGTTCTTTAAGTCACTACCGCTAGTCCTGCTCGTGCCGGCAGGAGAGATGACAGATGATTAGATGGCGGTGATGATGAACAATTCGCCGCGCAAATTGTGAGTGCTTGATCTTTCTCCCTCTTATTTGCGCCACTGATATGTGGAGTAGGATCATTTGGAGAAGGGGCTTGAAGATGAGAGGGAACGGAATAAGGATGACATCCCACATCTATAATTACTCGAGAAGCATTACAAAGAGCGCGAAAAGGAAACAAATACAACGGCATGAACATCTCGATTCATATCTAAAGCCCATCCCAAAACCCTCGGTGCAACCGTAACAAATGCTAGTACTATGGCGGTCTAAGGCAGTCCTGCGGATGCACCATGTATGCAAAAGTCCATTATTTTCACCAGAAGAACCAGGAACTAAAGTTAAAGCTGTCGAGGCAACATTCAAGGTAGGAGCAATGGCGCATAAACACCAGTTTTTAAATGGGATACGTGCGCATGTGTACTCATACCCAGTCAAATCCTACTCCACGCTCAGCCAGGGATATACAGTTACATACAGAGGGGATACACGCATATACACGCGCATACACAAAATGGTTGATTTTTACAGGATGTCTAGTTATGTAACGATAAACAGACCGCTGTCGTATCAGTAACAAAATATATCTCATCGACTCGTACTCACAACACCATTCTCATGCCCGCAGAACGCACACAACGTGAATTCACCTGTTCGTGTACCAGGAAATGCAATGGAATCTTGAAAAATGTCACCAGAAGCACCTACCGCACCCATGAGAAGCACCGCTTGGAAGATATTGCATTGGCTTCGTCGGGGACACGTAAATAACTTTGTCAATCCGGCGAGAGAAGTAGTACGGAGCAACCTGGAGCATGTGCAGCTTGGGAGAGCATGCACACCACGTCCACCTTCGCCCTCATCCCAGCCGCCCGCTCATGATAATGACTTTGGAGATCTAGCCTCCGATGGTCTGCATGAGATAGACCGTGAAGCTCGAACCAGCTATTCAAGACTCTATGTCAACTGCAAGCTCATCAAAGCGGCCCCAGTCAGTTGCAATCTCTCCTCAAGCACGCACCTCGAAGAAAAAGAAAGAGGCTCATCGCATCTCATCTTCGTCACTACCCTCCGTTGTAGTACTACCACCAACTGTTCAGGGCCACACTACCATTCTGCCGACAACTACACATCCTCCAATCATGCCCAACAACCACGACTCAGGCTCACTGAACCACATGTCCTACAGAGACATCGCCCAGGCCCTTGATGAGCCGATCATGCTTACAACAGATATTAAAGGCATTCCATCGCAGTCCACGGCCACCGGCCAACCCCAGCTTAAAGTTCAAGTGAGTCTGATCTTACATCCCTTCGAGTTCTTGTATCTAAAAGTTATTACTACTATATAAGATCATCAATCCGCTCGCATCACTCTTTCCGGATGCACAAGAGAGCCCACCGGTCCATCTCGTGCCCAATTCAGCTGTTCCAATATTCTCCAGCATTGTGTCGTCGACCGTCAAACTTGCTGCGCACATGGAAAACACTTCGGTTTGTGACTCGGATCCCATCGATACTATTCACGTTCCTCAATCACGTTCAACATCGGACATGTCATTCATGCAATACCTGTCGCAAGCAATGCATGCCAGCGCTGCACTTGCTCCTTTGAACACCGTCACCTACTCTGGCCACTACGGATAGTAGCAAGAATGGTGTTGCGGGCATGCCGGGTGCCACAGATGTTTCAAAAGGCGCTAAAAAAAAGGAAGTGACCGCACCGAAACAGACTACTATTCGTGCAACTGCAAAGTAAGTGTCGTTTCAGGTACTATTACCATCATGTCTTACTGGGCGACCTTTGCAGAAGTCTTTGTCGAACGGATTGGTGCAAGGACAACCCCAACGGCTCCAACTCACAATTTGAGACGCACTGGAGGAAGCTCGAACCTTTTGCCAAACAGGTACGCTAACTTGAATTTTTTGTTCGAAACGAGCGCTTGTTGACTAGAAATAATCAGAGCTATAGTGATAGGCTTGCCCTGGTCAAAATAGCAAGGTCAAGTGCAACATCCGTCCCTCAGCGTGCTCTCACACCGGACTCTGTCGCTGTCGCTGTCCCCCATGCTCTCATACCGGAATCTGTCACTGTTTCTGTCCCCCATGCTCTCACACCGTTCGTCTCTGTCCCCTGTGCTCTTACACCATCTATCTCTGGCCCGTCAGATGCTCACGTGGATGTGGGAGGCGAGATGGTGGAACCACTCGCAGTTGCTTAGATCCGTCCCCGAATCTGCACTACTACTCGCATCAGTACGTCGAGTCATTTCTCATTTAATCGTCACAGTTCTCATGCACATCTCCCATTTTGCTCTTTCGCCT